TTGCTGGGAATGTTGCTTTCCTCCACTAGGGTCTTGGTTTTTTGTGCGATTGTATTAGTCGGATCTTTGTCAAGCTTTTTGTATGCTTTGTCCGAGAGATGTCTGTTATAATTTGTTACACAACAATTGTTCGGTTTTGACGTTGTGAATTTGAACCCACGATATCTGATCTCTCTGTACATTGGAGCAGTACATTGATTTATTAAAGGTCCTCTATTGTGTTCTTTTCTTAATTCGTAGTTATCATTACGAATATTGACTATTCTTTTTAAATCTGCATTCCTAGACTCGTACATTCTATTTTTTAATTGCTCTAAAGGTTTATCGCATTTCCTAAGCATTTTCTTGAGCTCTTGCAAGTAATTTTCAAATATAAAAGCCGAATATTCATCTAACGTTCCCCATTTTAAAACATCATTAGCTAAATGTTGTAATGTATGAACGTTATAAGACATAGCTTGGATTCCGTATAGTGTGTCTTTGAAAATTAACAATATATTTTTCCAGCAATTGTTTGGCGTATCTGTTTTGTTCATATTCTAGATTCGGCGTCGCAAGAAAACGAATGACTATGGAAAGATGTAAGAAATGCTCATACACATCATCTCGGACAATGTTGCGTAATACTACCATTCCAATGTACAAAAGAAATTGACGGAACTCCGTAACTTTCATTCGATCAAGTTCTTCTAAACCTCTTGGTTTACGAGCAAATTCGCATGGAACATATTTTCTCAGATTCGTTAATCTCATCGAAATTTAATTTATTTGCTGAGTACCCAATTTCATGGGATTAAGTTTTCCAGTCATTTTATGCAGCATTTTTCTTGTAACCCCCAACAATACTACATACATGTAGTCAAATGGCACGTCCGAGACTAGATCATCGTTAAGCTGTAATGGTGATATTCCTGTATGATGATCTCTTTGAGTCTGATTTCTAAATGACTCTACAGTACGCAGACGGGCATTTAATTCAGGATATACAACACTACCTCTGTACTCGCCTTTTGTTTCACACTTACCACATGCATAGTATCCAGTATGATTTTTAATGCAACAAATGTAAGCCCTTGCAGGAGTATCACAAACGTAACAGATAATTTTTAATGAAATAATCATTCCATTAAAATTGATGCCAGTTTCTTTTAGGTTCTGTGCTTCTTCAACAAATTCTTTTAAAAATATATCAGGCGATGGAGGCTTCTTATGTCCATGAAATGCTCCAATAAAAAACAGCTTTTTATTATAAAAATTTCGGATACTTCCAAGAATATGCCACAGCTGACTATTGGAGCTTCTAACAAGCGGTAATCCATCGATGTTTATTGACAAAATAATTTCATATGGTATAGGTGCATCACTGCACGTTTTAAAAATAGCAATCAAGCCATTCGCAATTCCAAAATGAAAATATTTTCCATGTTCCATTGTTATTGGCTTAGCTGATCTCGGATTTTCAGAAGAGTTCGAGCATCTGCTGGCAAAGATTGCAAATCTTGTTCTTCTCGCAGTAATTGTAGGAGTTTATTAACGGATGTTAGAGTTATTCTTTCGTTTATTGCCCAATTGGCAAGATTTTTTTTTTCAGTCTATCCACGTTTAAACTCTTCTGATCTTCACTGCCTCTTTCTGAAGAAGTATCGCTTGGATATTCATCAGAATAAGAGACATCCAGTACATTTTCATCCGGCGTACATAGATCTTCATCATTATAAAAGTTCCCGTCGTTATGTTGTACTACATCATTCCTTTCTGTGGTTGTGCATGTTGTTTCTTCGTTAATGAGTTGTAAATCCTCATTGTAACAAAGTGCATTTGAAAGTGATATGAGATCCTCTTCATTTTCATCAGAATCGTCTTGTTGCAGTTTATCGAATATCACATCAACTTGTTGCTGTAGCAATTTACGCTTGTACCGAGCACTATACTGATATTTTCGTTTATTCGGCATAATTGAGTTCAGCCCTTCACGAAGAAATGTATTAAATTATTGTTTATCATGCAGTTTCATAAACATTCAGAAATATTTTTAAATATACAAAATAGAAATAATACAAACCAGGAAGAATTGCGTAATAATAGAGGAGAAGATGTATTATGGCCAGTAAATATTACATAACATGTATATTATATAATAGCCTTTCTTAATATTTCCGCTATTAGGTATAGCTAATTTTAGAGAATACTTATGGAATAATTTATTCAGTAGAGCTTGTCATTACACTCTATGTATGTGTGTGTGTGTGTGCGTGCGCGCGTGCGCGTGTTCTAATAAGGTAATATGTAAATGTTGTTTATAAAAGTTACCATTTATTATAACGCATTTTTACTTTCAAGCATTTTGAAACGTTTTTAAAGTACATTTTAATATTCACATTCTTTTTAAATTTGAGCCATATGGTCATGCAAATATATGTATATTTGAATGTGTTAATTGTTATTTAATTTATAACATTTATTAAAACATATTAAAACATTTTATTTGACTGTATACATTTCGAGTTATTCAAAGTTAAACAATAGCACATTTTGCTAATGTAGCTTCTTAAGTGTGTTGATTGCTGACGGTCTTTTTTTCGAGATCTTAATATTAAAATAATGCACAGTTTATTATATATGTACTATAGATTTTTAGTACTGAGCAGCCTATATGTGGAAGAAGTATGTGTACTTATATATTTGCATACATTCTGCAATATTTTACTTTTCTCTTAATTTTGTAACCGAAAATTGTTTTTTTTTTATACAAAACCAATTCTTGAAATCTCTATTTTTGTAGGAGGCCACATTATCATCCTTGTTCTGTCCGAGTCATTATGTATTGCCACATTTTTATAAATAATGTTCCAAAATAATAAATGTTTCGTATTAATCTAAAATCATTTAAACAACATTTTGACCAAAACAAATGTCAAGGGTTCGGTTTTAAATTTAAGTATTAATTATTAATCAAGTTATTCATGGGTCGGTCGTATTTAAAATATGTATTTTAAGTAAAAAAAAATAAAAGCGTAATTTATTATTTTAAAAAACTTAAAATCTATTTCTTGTTTTATATTTTTTACGTAAGTTACTGGAATCCATTTTATATTTTTTATTTTGAATAAAATAAATATCGTAATAATTTTTTACCGACTCTTGAAATTATTGTATAAAATGGGATGCCATAATACCATCTTCTCTAGTAATAATTTATGCATATAGATTCATAATATAATAATTAGGATGATATTTCAGGAGAGTTCCGTTAGCCCACATCACAATAGCACATAAGCACACATCTACTCACAACAGCCAGTGCATAGTAATTTTTCTACTACCAATGAGAAAAGCCATACATGAGATTGAACATATATAAATTCCATATTAAAGATTTCAATACAGTGAATTCTTTACGTCCATAATAGATCGCAATACTATTTCTCTGTTCAAAAGCGTGAAAGAGTAGTCCAATAACAAAATTCATTTAATAAAGTAAAAAAATGATGTGTAATGTCCAATATTATTTCTTTGTTTCAAATAATTAAAGGAATATGACAAATAAATAAATAAACATAATAAGAAAAGTTATAATGTTAAAGTTATTATAATGTTAAAACGGGAAAAATGAAAAATTATAACTTACTATACAATCAAGATTCAATGTTAAATCGATAAATAACAGTTGTCCAAAAAAAGTTGTCTAAAAAACAATGTCCAAACAGTAAAAAGGTTTCATATTAGAACAATTGTAAACGCTTGCAGATAAGTACAAGAATTAAATAACATGTTTAATAATATTAAACAGGGTACATCAAGACATTTGGTAATTTAGGAAAATATTTTAAATCGAAATAACTCAATGAATTGGAAAAATGTTAAAATCTTAGACTCTATAAACTAAATTATAATAAAAGAATTTTAGAAATGTTACACACTAAATAACAGTTAAATGGTATTAATTTGCAAAAGGACACTGAGGGTCTTGATTATTCGTATTTTTGTTTACTCAGATTCAACTTAAATAATAATTTCTACTTTTAACCTGTTAAACTTCGTCGAATATTTCATAGCTATTAAATATACGTACATTAGTGCCCTTAGTAACATTATCTCACTGGATTGTTTACAATTTTCCTAACATACTTTTCTTACTGTCTGGGTAGTCTTTTTATCGATTTGACATTGAATTTTGATTTAAATAAGTCTTAATTTTTCATTTTTTTCCGTTTTAGCGTTATAATACAATACTTTTTCTTATTGTCATTTTATTTATTCAGCGTGCAGTTACATTCTTTCAATTATATGAAATAAAAAATTATATTAGATATTACACATTTTTTTTGACTTCATTAAAAGAATTTTATCATTGGACTCTATGCTTTTGAACGGAGAAATAGTATTGCGTTCTATCATGGACGTAAAGAATTCGATATATTGAAATTTTGTTTAATATGGAATTTATATATGTCCAATTTCATATGTATGGCTTTATATTTGATTATACAGGGTGACCCATTTTAACTTAGACAGCCAAGTAACTCGAAATATCGCGATTAAATAAAAAAATGTTTAA